AAGATCTGAAAAAAATGATAAAGGTTCATTTCAAAATCATTAAAGTTGGAGAAGGAAAAGAGAGGTGGTTTGTGGTACTTCTTTAGACCTTGTACATGTACCATTCAGTCCCACTGCCCCTCCCAAAAGTCTGAGAAAGGCATTCAGAAATTTTACAAAATCTCTTTTCTGAGAGATTATTTAAAACACGCATACAAAACCACATGCCTATCTGACTAAGGTGTGTGACTATGGGAAGAGTGAAGGAGTAGAAGAGCATGTAGATTTATTTGTACTGCTGGATGCTGCTGCCTTACACTCTAAAGTCAAAAGTAAAATTAAAGTGGTCACAGCAACCCATCTACAATACTGGAGAAGTTCCTAACCAAGTGAATTGCATAGGATGTCACCAAAGAAATTATAAATCAACAACGTGGATGAATTTAGATATAATTAAACTCAGAGACTTTTTGTTTTGTTTTCTAATTTAAAGAACAAAACAATGGCTGGGTATGCTGGTAATCCCAGCACTTTGGGAGGCCAAGGTGGGAGGACGGCTTGAGCCAAGGAGTTCAAGACCAGCCAGGGCAACTTGGTGAGACCTTGTCTCTACTAAGAGTAAAAAAAAAGTTCATCATCACTGGTCATTAGAGAAATGCAAATCAAAACTACAATGAGATACCATCTCATGCCAGTTACAATGGCAATCATTAAAAAGTCAGGAAACAACAGATGCTGGAGAGGATGTAGAGAAATAGGAACGCTTTTACACTGTTGGTGGGAGCGTTCAACCCTTGTGGAAGACAGTGTGGTGATTCCTCAAGGAACTAGAACCAGAAATACAATTTCACCCAGCAATCTCATTACTGGGTACATACCCAAAGGATTATAAATCATTCTACTAGAAAGACACATGCACATGTATGTTTATTGCAGTACTGTTCACAATAGCAAAGACTTGAAACCAACCCAAATGCCCATCAATGATAGACTGGATAAAGAAAATCTGGCACATATCTAGCCTGGAATACTATGCAGCCATAAAAAGCATGCATTCATGTCCTTTGCAGGGACTTGGATGAAGCTGGAAATCATCATTCTCAGCAAACTAAAACAAGAACAGAAAACCAAACACCACATGTTCTCATCATAAGTGGGGGTTGAACAATGAGAACACATGGACACAGGGAGGGGAACATCACATACTGGCGCTGTCAGGGGGTGGGGGGCTAGGGGAGAGACAGCATTAGGAAAAATACCTAATGTAGATGACGGATTGATGGGTGCAGCAAACCACCGTGGCATGTGTATACCTATGTAACAAACCTGCACACTCTGCACATATATCCCAGAACTTAAAAGTATTTAAAAAAAAAAAAAAAAGTTAAACAAAAATAGCTGGGCACAGTGGCATGTGCCTGTGGTCCCAGCTACTTGGGAGCCTGAAGTGGGAGGACTGCATGAGCCAGGGAGGTCATGGTGGCAGTGAGCTGTGATCACACTATTCCAGCCTGGGTGACAGAGCGAGATTCAAAAAAAAGAAAGTACAAAGCTGATATCAATGGATGTACTTAGAATTTTGAAGCTGTTACTAAATCTTTAGGAAATGTAGGGATAGTGCTAAACTCCACATGAGATACCGTGCTAAGCCTTCCCATTATGTTTTTACAATCATTCGTAAGAGTGCAGTTAATCTGACAGGTGAGCTAGTAGTCAAGACGCAGGATTTATGCCCAGTATAAAAAGGTGCTTAACAAAAATGTAAAAAACTGATAGGAAAATTCTTGAGAGTCTTACAAAAAGGAGAGGAAAAGTCTATATCTAATATTGTAGACAGAGCCTTTTCTGAAGGCAGGTTGTAAGCCTTAAGAATTAATAAACTTTTTCAGTTCCTATACTTCTATGTTAGGATAAATGTTTAAAAAAAAAAAAAAAGGCTCCAATTACACTTTTTCGTCCTGAATACACAATGCAAAGGGCAGACTACAAGTTATTCTGAAAGAATGAGCAGATACAAAACTACCTCCTGCACAGGTAGAAGAATCCCTCAATAATGGGGCATCTTCATTCAGAGAAAAGCTGTCCTCTTTTAAACAGGAAGCCAAAATCCTGGCTCTAGTCCTAGCTCAGAGCTCAGACACTAACTAGCTGCGAAAATCAGGTAAGTCCCTTTTTCCTTTGGGCTTCCATTTCTACTAATTTCGAGAAAAGTTATACTGTTACTCTGAAAGATTGTTCTCATGTTTTTGTTACCAACTTTCTTATTAAATATATTGCACAGGCTGAATAGCATCATCAACATGTTCAATGTATTTACTTAAAAAAAAGACATACCTGTACATATGTCAGTAAAGCACTGGAATAAGCTTTTAGCTTGTCAATGTGGATATTGAGCAACTAAAATTATTTTTATATAAGCTTCACACATATATATTTGGAACATAATACACAATAAATGTTTGTTGAATAAATGAATGACTCCATCCATTTATCCATCTACCTCCCAGGTAAAAAATGATCAGATTTACTTAGGCTAAATTAGGCATGGAGTTGTTACCATTACTAAAGCCACTCCATGTGCAAGAGGAACATCTGGCTAGAAATTAAGAGATGTGAGTTCTAGTCCAAGTTCTGTTTTATTAACATTCTTCTAATAATTTGCGTGGCCTCAGTTTGCCCATTTATGAAAATGCAGATACTAAAATCTTCTCTCCACAGGTGAGGACAAATAAAATGATATGGGAAAGACAGAACTTTGAAAAAAATCAAAGTACTTTATAAATAAAAGATATCAGCTTGTGATCTCATATCCACAAAGAAGCTGAATTTAGGAGTATGAAGAAAAAGGTTGTGAGAAGAAAAGAAAACTACCAGAGAACTATATCCTCCACTTCATCGGGTTTTCTGCTTGGGGCTAAGAACTGTCCCTTAGGGGATGGAGGCAGCAAACCACAATACCATGTGTGTACCTATGCAACAGTCCTGCATGATCTGCACATGTACCCCAGAACCTAAAGTACAATTAAAAAAAAAAAAAAAAAAAAAGAAAAGAACTGTCCCTTAGAATGAAACAGATGCTCATAGTAACTCCTAAGCAAACTCCCACGGCACTTGACCATGTTGACTTATTATTTTTTCTTTTCTTTCTTTTTCTTTTCTAAACAGACTGTATACCATATATATCTTTTACAAAATAAGTTTATTGAAATATTATTTATTTATTTATTTGAGACAGGGTCTCACTCTGTGACCCAGGTTGGAATGTAGTGGCATGATAGTGGCTCACCACAGCTTCAATCTCCTGGGTTCAAGCAATCCTCCCACCTCTGCCTCCCCAGTTGCTGGGACTACAGGCATGTGCCACCATGCTCGGTTAATTTTTGTATTTGTTGTAGAGGCAGGGTTTTGCTGTGTTGCCCAGGCTGGTCTCGAACTTCTGGGCTCAGGTGATCCACCCACCTCAGCCTCCCAAAGTGCTGGGATTACAGGCATAAGCCACCGCATCCAACAGGTATAATTTACATACCACAAAATTTACTCCTTTTAAGTGCACAATTTGGTGGTTATTAGTATATTCACAGAGTTGAGAACTGTCTCTAATTTCAGAACATCTGCATCACTCCTAAATGAAACTACCCATTAGCAGTCACTTCCCATTAGACACCCCTTGGTTGCTCCAGACTCTGGCAACTACTAATCTACTTTGTGTCTCTATAAATTTGCTTATTCTGGACATTTCATACAAATGGAATCACACCATATGTGGCCTTTTGTTACTGGTTTCTCCTAGTATAAATACTTGACATTAACAAAGTTCTCACCACAAAATTATTCCTCAGAAAAAAGGAGACATGTTCCTTTGGATACCTTACAAAGCCTTTCATAAGAAGGGACATTCTATTACTTTATTTTGAATAAGACTGGTATAAGCCAATATTCAGAACCTCTGACTAGAACCTAATCAATTATAATTCTATATGATTATAAAAAGTCTTGCTTTTCCCATTGTTAAAAGTTTGAATGCAAATATCTTATGAAATATAAATGTGGGAAAAGGGCAGTATTTTCATATGAACAGATTATTAAAGTAATTTCAAACACATTTATAAAACTAAATTAATAAATTAAATGTTACATATATATTACTGCTTCATCTGCTTCCCTGCAAGTTTATCATTCAAAATGAGGGGAGAAATTTAAAATTCAAAATGGATCTGTTCATTGAAAACACAAGGAAGACTGTTTTATATTCAAGATGATTTTATATCTGAAACTTCTAGGATCATTCAAAGACAAGGTCAGATATGCTTATCTTTAGGCCTAACATCACTGACTTCTCTCCTGGAACTTTAAAAAGCAGTTGAAATCCAATTCTTGGCAAATATCTCAAAAGAAAACTGAACTTTGTAAGTAAATATCATAGAAAAATTGAATGAGGTAATTTTATTTTAGAAAAATACTGTTCAGTAATGAAGTGATCTTAAGGGCTACTGTCAACCCACTCATTTAAAAACTTATGAAATAAGGCTGAAAGAGGCTAACTGACTTACCCAAGATCATACTGCATGAAGGCTTACCATGCTAAGTGCTATTCATGAATGATTTCTTAGTTTCCCACAACTCTATTCATTTCCCTACTTTACAGCTGAGGTTTACAGAAGTTAAATGACTTGCTCGAAGTTACTCAGCTAATATATGGCAGAGGTAGGATTCAAGTCAGATCTCTCTAGCTTCAGAACCAGGGGGCTTAACCATGTTGCAATACAAGTCTTCAGCTTCTCATCAGAGAACCCTGCCCAGAATCAGAATCACATGGTTTAAAAAAATCATTTAGCCAGGTTTGACATTTCTAAACTAATTTAATTGGAATAGAAGAAAACATCATTAAAAATTAGCAAAAACATTGGCAAAATAAGAGAAAAAGATATGTGTGAGATAACAGGTCTGGCATTATTTTGAAGTTTATAAAAACATCTAAAAATAAAAAAAGTCATGGGTTATTCAAAGGAAGTCAGTTTTACCTGGTTAATTCTCTTAGTCGAGTCACCTCAGCATCACGCTGACGTAATGTTATCCCCAATATCTGGTTTTCCTTTTCAGCAGTTTCTAACTTAAACTGGGAGTTTTTCACATTGACTAGGGCTTCCTCCAATTCTAAAACAACAAAAGTTTCAGTTTCCTTATTCCTTTCTAAAAATGTGACCATAACTACTGTGTAAATACGTACCAATTTTTATTCTTGTTATCTCAATGTCATATTGCTGTTTATTTTCAAGTATAGTTTGATCTTTGTCTTTAAATATGCTAGTAAATTTTTTGTTTGCATCTCTCTGATTTTCAATCACTTTTAAGAGCTCTTCATTCTTACTCTGCAGTAATTCCTGGCTCTTTAGTGACTCCTCCAATTGATTTTGCAGTGACATATTCAATGACTGAAGAGAAAACACTGTAAGACAAAATGGATCAAATAGTTGTTTCCCAAACCTAAAAAGTACAAACTTGGAAAACATCTGTTTCAAAAAAAAAAAAAAAAAGGCCTGAAATGTATTGATTTTGCTTAACAAATAATTGCATGAGTAGTTCTAAGCAGTTCTATATAAATAATACATATAGTTTTAAAAATTGATTGGCAGAATTCATAGCTTTCTTTTCCAATTAACATTTTAAGCATTACTTTTTAACCCTTTTAAAAGAAAGAATAATACATAACCCTTTTAAAAGAAAGAATAATACATAATCCCTTTAAAAGAAAGAATAATACATGTACAAAGTTAAAAAAAATTCAACCACCACAAAATGTCAATAATACCATATGATCCCAATGAAGAATCTCCCTCTCACTCATCTCGGTCCCCAGAGAAAATCACTATTAATTCTGATATCTTTCAGAAAAACACTTTTGCATGTGATATTACACACACTTCACACACACATGCACACACCCACAGACACTATACAGTTACTAATTTTGCCTTTTTTTCCCATAAGACCGTTGCATACAAACACACAGATTTATCATGTTCTATTTTTATGGCTATAAAAGTATATGGCACCATTTATTTAGCAAATACATCCTCAGTGAATACTTACTATGTGTAAGGTATTGTATTAGAGTCAGAATATACACAGATGAATAACACAGACATGGCCCCTGTTCTCATGGAGCTGATAACAAACAAGTAATTATAAATAGTAATGATCTCAAAGAAACAATAAGATAAATGAACAGATAATATAAAGAAGAGAAGCTATTTAAAGAGGCAACTACTGATCTCCCCACTTGTCCTCTAGGCCTTCTCTCTCCTACCCCCTCCCTCTCCTCACCTTTGGTTAACAATGGAGCCAGAGTGATAATTTCTGAATCATTCTGATGAAATTGAACACTTTCATGTTGGGTAATCATATTTTTTCTTATTGCTTTATAAGATATATTTATATATTAAGAAGATTAAGCCTTTGTTATGCCATGTATTGTTTCCCCATTTTGTTTATATGTTTTGAATGCATTTATAATTTTGCTATGTAGAAATTGAAAAAGTTTTCTGGGGGTATATTTTATCAATCTATTCTTCTGTGGCATCTGAGTCTTTTCAGGCTTAAGAAAAGCTCCCCCCACAAAAAACATTCTCATCTTTTTTTCTGGTACTATTCTAATTTCTTTCTTTATTAAACTCTGTGATCATTAAGGACAATTAGGTAATGTCTGTCACAATTGCAACTGTATACACCCTTTGGCTCAGCAATTCTACTAAAAATCTATACTACAAAAATGCTGGCTAGGCAGGGTGGCTCCTATCTGTAATCCCTGCACTTTGGGGGGGCCAAGGTGAGTGGATCACTTGAGGTCAGGAGTTCAAGACCAGCCTGGCCAACACGGTGAAATGCTGTCTCTA